TAATACCTTTGGCTGGTTTTGGTATTGCGATAATACTGGCCTTGCTGAAAGAGTCAGGAAGGATTCATACTCTTCTATTTCCTGGAGGAGATCATAGCTAATTAGTGAAATTTCTTGCTTAAATATTTAGAATTAAATATTTCCTTAAATATTGTAGAATTGACCAGTAAACATACCTGGGCTGATGCTCTCTATTTTGGAAAATTATTATTGATTCAACTTTATATAGACATAGACCTAGGCAGATAGTCTACTTCTTAATATGAGTTTTGGCAGAGGTACCTTTCAAGAATTGGTCTATTCCATGTAGATTATAAAATTTGTTGGCACAGAATGGTTCATTATAGTTCTTTATGATCCTTTTAATGTCCATAGGATCTGAAGTCTTCTTTTTCACTTCAGACATTAGCAACTATGTCATTTTTCTTTTTTCTTAGTTAGCCTGGATAAAGGCTTATTGATTTTGAGTTTTTTCAACCAGCTTTTGGTTTTGTTAATTTTCTTTGTTTATTTCCTATTTTCAATTGCACTGATAGCTACTTTCATGTTACTTTTATTAGTGAAAATTAGTGGGTCTTTGTTGAAACTGCCTACCTGGTATATTCTCTTGGACTTGATACATCCAAAGTGAGTTCCTAATATCCTGCTACTCTCTCTACAACCAGCTCCTTCTCAGTTAAAGCAACTGAGTTTTTGCAGTCACTTGGATCAAAGCCTGGTATCACTGATTCCACTCTTTTTCTTCTACCCCTCATCCCACTTGTCAGCAACTCCTATTGTCTTAACCTTCAAGTCACGTGTGTATGTGCATGTGGATATGTCTGAATACATAAGTTCTTACCACTTTTTTTTTCTTTTAACATCCTCACTGCCACTATTGCAGTCTAAGCCACTATCATCTTTCTCTGGGTTTATGACTACCCTTTTTACTGGTCTTCCTTATTCTCCCCTTTCAACATGACAGCCTGAGGGCTCCAACTAAAACATAGTCAGTACCCACCCTCTGCTGAAAACCATCCAGTGATTCTATGAACTCCATCAGAGTGACTGTCAGAATCCTTACACATAGCCTTGTATGAGGACAGACCTACAGCTGTCATCACCTGTATCTCCCTGCCTTGTTCACTCTACCTGCATTTTACTGGGCTCCTAAATGCTCCCAAATCCAGCCAGTCCTCCCCAGGTCAGTTCAAGGACTATGCACTCACCATTCTCTCTGCAGGCAAGGCTCTTATCCCCAAAAGACACACAGCTCACTCCCTTACTTCCTTCAGGTACTGACTCTGAAATTCTTTTTACATTGGCACCTACCTTGATACCTCTAAAATTAGAACTCCTGCCCACAATTCTCCTTACCCTTTTTGTGTCTTGCCTTTTGCATCACTTTTTATCAACTGAAATACTCTTTTAAAAAAAAATTTTGTCTGTCTCTCCCATTAAATGTGAGCTCTATGGGAGCTGGGATTTTTGTTTCCTGATCACTGCTGAATCTTCAGAGCTTAGAACAGTAAGGAATCAATAACTTTGTTGAGTGAATGTAGAGTAAAATGTGAACGTCTCCTCTTAAATATCCATAGCTGCCTGAAAGCCATATGTTTTGTCTTTTTCTCTATGACTATATATATTACAAATAGGTATTTTTTATGCAAATGGAATCAAGCAACTAATAGTATTCTTTGTTTTCCCTTTTTCTCACCAGAGGTCATGTCTTGGTAATCCATGTCAACATAGGTATATCTATCACATGATGATAAGAATTTAAAAACAAAAATCCCTGATGGCATAAGATAATTAATGGGGTGATAGCAGAGCTCTTTGAATCTTCTGTTTCCTAGTCATCATGGCATCTTGAACAAATCAGATAGGTGTTCAGCCTCAATGCAAATGACATAGAAGGACCTCCCTACACAATACACCGAGGCTTGAGGAGCTGCTGAACTTGGTCCCCACTGCTTTTATTCTGTTCTGTGAGTCTCAAGCTACCTGCCTGCCATGTCTTAGAGTTTAGACATCTAGCATGAGTAAAGAACAGTTCTGGAGGAGGTGGTGGTTTATTGCAGCTGTGTTCACATGTCAAGACTTCAAAAGACTTCTGAAGAACAAGGGCTATTTAAAACACTGCTTTCCACTGACATAGAGTATCTAGGTTTGAAGCTGGCTTTGCAGTGTTTTCAGGTGAAAAACTTAAAGCTCATTCTGTTTTGAACTTTGAAACTTACTCTATTTGGCTTTTGTCTTGAAAGAGTTACAACAACTTTAGGTTCTTACTTTAGCCCAGAAAGTAATCTTTGAAAGGTGTTACCAGGGTACTGGCTGAATCCAGCAGTTCTTTCTGAAAGCCTGGCTGTGGCTGTGGCTTCCTGGAACTGGATCAGAGGTTATGAGCCACCAGGAAAGAAGTGATGGCAGATACCAAACCCCAGAGCTGAGGTCCCAGCTGCACTCAACACTTGGCTTGCCATTGAGCTTTTTGTATGACTAAGAAGATGTATCAGGGTTTTGTTTGTTTTTTGGTGGTACTGAGGTTTGAATTCAGGGTCTCGTCCTTGCTAGGCAGCTGCTTTACCACTTGAGCTATGTCCCAGTCCTTTTCAGGGGCTGTTTTTGCCTGGGGCTGGTCTCAGGCCATGATCCTCTGTGAGATCTATGATCTCCAGAATAGGTGGAACAATAGCTGCATGCTACCACACTCAAATTTATTAGTTGAGATGGGGTCCTGCTAAGTTTTTGCCTTGAACTGTGATTCTCTTCATTTCTGTCTCCAGAGTAGTAGAATCATAGGATTTTGTAATCCTGGGATTATAGGTATGAGCCATCGTGCCTGGCCTTGGCTTTTAATATACTAAAAATATTTCAAAGCACATTTGTTAGTGCTACATAGTTTTAAACTAAAATTAACAATCACAAATCATTGCTTTTATTCAGGTCTAGAGGTAAAACAACAGGAATTCTATACTCCAATTAATTTTTTCAATGCCCTTCTGTTAAGCCATCTACTGGGGGGCAAAAGAGTGCCTTACTTTGGAAGTGAGTGATCAGTGAAGCCACAAAGCCTTCCCCAGCCTCTGCTGCCTACCTATGCAATGTCTCAGGGCTGGGAGCTGGAGTGAGCCTGGGTCAGCAGATACTTTTCCAAGTCAAGTGAAGCAGGAAAGAGAATTTATACCATCATGGAATCTGAGGGAAGCACAAAAGTTCTACAATTTCTTTTGGTGAAATTCGGGTTTGAACTTAGGACTTCATGCTTACAAAGCAGGATATCACTTGGGCCACAACCCTAGTCCATTTTTCTCTGGCTATTTTAGAGATGAGGTCTTAAGAACTGTTTGTCTGGGTTAGGCTTGAACCACAATCCTCTTGATCTCAGGCTCCCAATTAGCTAGGATTACAGGCATGAGCCCTTGGTACCCAGCTCAAATACTTTTGTAAGTCATCAGTGTCTGGTTTTTCCCAATTGAACCCTTGTGCTTTATCTTCCCTGCAAGTCTCCAAGAGGCCTGGGATACCCTCTGAGTCACTCTGAGGTAACTGTATGCAGGTCTAGGGTTCCTCTGTTGTCTGTCATCCAAGTGTCTTCTGCAACCAAAACCAGAGAACTGAACCTAGAAAGCTCTAACACAAAGTTCATGACAGGAAATAAAAGCTGGCTAGATAGGAAGTTATCATTTATTCACTGGTTATGTATATGGCATGTTAATAGTGCACAGTCACAAACATGTGCCTTTCAGTAAATATTTTGTGGTTAGTCACTGTGAAGTGACGGGAGACTCATTTCAATCCAGTATTTCATGAGCAATAATGACATGTCAATGGTAACAAATGAACCATTCTGGTGGGGATGTTGATGGTGGGGAAGGTGAGGTTTGTGTGTGCGTGTGGGCAGGATATGAGAAACCTCTGAATCTGTCTCTCAATTTTGTTGTAAACTTAAAATTTATCTAGAAAACAAGTCTTACAAAAAAAAAAAGAATGCTGTGGAAATGACTTAATATATTTCTTACAACCACAATTCAAACTGGCTCACAAAGTCTGTGAATGTAATTATTGTACTAAGTTTGAAACCGCAGAAGGTACAATATGCCAAAGACAAAATATGAAGGAACACAAAGCAGCAAAGCCTTCTAAGAACACCAGTTATCATTAATTGAGTGATTACTTTGTGCCAGGTACTATATTAAGGCATTTATAAAGATTATCTCATGACAGTCTCTTAATTCTGTCATGTAAATGCTCTTATTATCCCTGTTTTACAAGGAGGAAACTGATTATGGAACTTGCCCAAGGCAGGATCTAAACAGCAAAGCACACTGAAACACACACAGCTTTCTATGTGTATGCTGTCTTTTCTTTTTAGATAAACCGAACTGTAGGGCCCCACCTACAGAGAGCTAAACCCACATGTTGCACACAGTATCTTAAAGCAAGTAGAGTAGAAACTCTATGTTATTAATGTACTCAGCAATTCAACAATTGCATAGAAAATTCCTGTGATTAAATGCAGAAAGAGAAATACAGATTTTTAATTTGTACGTGTTGAATGAGCAGAACAAAGGAATGAAGGGCTCTGGCAGTCTTAGCTACAGCTTGTAAACCACCCCTAATTATCCTTTGATGGATCCCCTTCCAAGTGGTCTTTTGTGGCAAATGAAGGCTAGCACATTAATCAGAATTAAGGAAGGCCTCTTAGCTTGGCCATACAGGCCTACTTCTTGCTGAAGTCTCAACAAACCTTTCAAGTGTGAAAACAGATTCCAGATCATCAGTTACCTAAAGCTAGAGCAACAGGGCACACACTTTTCTGCAGGACATGAGAGTTGTTAAATGTGTCATTACCTTTTCTGTCTTGTGGTTTCTCCTCAGGTTCACTGCCATGTTTGATGGGGCTGCAGTGTGTGCTGCAAGGTAAGCCATCTCACCACAACAGGATGGCTCCTTCCCTCTGACCTATCTCCACCACCCAGGGTGCCGAGCTGCTAGGGGTGCATGAGGTCTTTGGGGAAAAATGGAAAGAAGACACTGTAAACATGGCTCCTGGCCCTGACTTTTTCCTTCTTAATCTAGAGAGACAGTTCAGTTGTGTAAGGCAGCAGCTCAATTAATGGTGGGTCTATCTGAGGACAGTCCACGAGTCTTGATTCTCCCCACACTTTTTTCCACATCTGAGCTCTTATCACATGTAGTTATTCCTCAAATTACCAAAGGTTTGTACAAACACCAGTAATTTTAATTTCCAGTAAGAGATTCAATTTAATTTATATTCAGAAGGAGTGCCATTCTCCCAAGAAACAATTTCATGTTTCCTTCAGAAAAGATGGGGGGGGGGGTCTGAGGTAGCATGGAGGAGAAAGGGAAGGTAGTGCTTGATTTAGGCCTCAACAGTAGGGCAGGAAAGGATATTGGGAAGTCTAGGGGCTGTAAAGGGTGCTGCCTTCCACCCTGAAGAGCCCATGACTCCAGGAAATGGTGCCAATGGAGCCCAGACAGCATTTGGTAGTATATTGCCAAGACTACAAAGCTTCCTAAGTTCTGACTTTGTATTTCCCTCTGTTATGGACCCTCAGTGGAAGAGGCACTCTGGTGGCAGAGGTGGGGTGGGGGTTTCAGGAGCAGTCACTCATATCTCTAGACAACACAAACAGGCCATAACATAAACACAGAAGGCAGGAGCTCAGAAAAGGGTTCCAGGTGAAAGCACTAGAGCCAGAGAGGAGGGAGCAGAGAGGAACATCCCTGAAGACATCAGGGGAAACAGTACATGAGCACTTCCTTAGCACCAGTCATCTTCTAAGTACACCTTCTGCATAATCAAACATTAGCTGACTAATCACAAATTCCACATTGGTGGGATCCGAAGGTTTGAGGTTTTACTGTGCTTTTAAATGGATCAGAAAGAATAGTCTGCCTAATGGTGAACACTACTGTAGTTTGATTTTTTGAGCTACCTTGAATTTTCACAGACTAAATAGAGAAATGGCTCTCAGTCAAGTACAGCTTTTCAGGAAAACTTGCTACATATTACATCACCTACAATAAACAAAATAAAACATATGAGAACTGATTCTTATAAGAAAAAGAATCATCCAAGGCCATCACAGTGATTTTCCAAAAAGAAAAAATGCCAGCCTTCAAGCCTTTGCAGCAAGCACTGCACCTTAGGTAAAATGAAGAAAATCTAAACTAATGTCAGTTCAAAGACCATCTGGTTTATTGATTTATTTTTGGCCAAAGTCCTGTGTTCCTAACAGAGAACAAATCTCTAGTTACTTTCAGAGTCTCCTCTTGTAGAATGGCATAGGACAGGAGAGTCAGCTTGGCAGCCATTCATCTGGGCGACATCTTGGGATATAACTACTTACTTTAAGATGTGGTACAGATGCTATGGAAGCCCAGCCACCCTGGCCTCCTAGCTGAGATGCCAGTCTGGTGAATGAAGCCTGTTTCCAGGTCCAGCTGAGCTCCCAGTAGAACAGCGCCTCACGAGTGATCCCAGCCAACACCACACGGAGTAGGAAAACCATTCAGTTGAGCCCAGCTCACACACAGACTCATGGGAAATAAGAAGTCATTGTTATTTTAAGTCATTACTTTTGAAGTGCTGTGTAACACAGCAGCAGAGAACTGGAATAGCCACTGAAGGTGGCTGTTTTTTGTGCTCCAGGAAAACACCTCCCTAGACACAGCAGATGGAAGCAGGTGGAATACCTTATCCAAGGAGAACTAGTACAAGAGAAGGCTTATACTTTGGGACTTCTGACCTAAAGCTAAAAGGTTGGGTTGAGCTAGGAAATACCAATAGATTAAGCATATGAAATAAAAGCTGAAAAGGTACAGTCAGGAGCAGCCCAAGGCAAGTTACAAAGCAATAGAAACTGCATGAGCAGAGATTGCTCCACAAAGGGAGAAGAATGGAGCAGGTACAGAGGTAAGCAGGCAGAGCTTGGCCCTAGAGAGACGCAGCTGCCCTGGGGCTGCCAGCGTCTCTGACAGCTTTCTAGACCTGTGAGGCTGGGCAAAGTTTGTAATCTCAGAGTTCTCTAAAGGTCCTGTCCCCTTTCTGTGCATGCCAGCATTTACCCCTCTTCTGTTAGCTAGTTTGAGTTTCTACTCCTGGTTAAAACATGGTTCTTCCTCATTGAGGCTCTACCATTTTAGGAATGGCGCTGAATATTACCAACAATACACGGAATACTTCAGCCAATGGAATATGAAGGTGAAGGAATGCCTGGGTATGCTGGTGGGAGGATGATGCATTACAGAATTCTCTTCCCACATCCCTGATGAAATGAACACAAACAGTAAAACAGGCAAAAATAAAACCAAGTACAAGCACACCAGCAGCAACAAACTAAGAACAGGGCAATCATGATTTAATAAATGTCTCAAATTCATAGTAGCTACATTAGTGAGTCATAAAAATCTGGAAATTTCTATCTCATACTCAAGCATACTAGAGAGTCACAAACTGAGTGAGTTTCTCTTCTGTTTGACAGAGCAGCAGAAATGATGGGACAGAGGAGAGAAAAATGAAGTAACACTGAAAAGGCAGGAATAAGGCTAACAGAAAACTGGATGAAATGCAGAAAGCATAGACTTCTGGTAGTGTGAGACAGTGGTGGCTGAGAGAAGTGTGTCAACAAGAGCATCTGCCTCCCTTCTCATGGTTCCAGACTGGTGCAGAAGAGCAGGAAGGCCATAGTGGCTAGAATCTGGGGGGCAGAGTAGTGGAGAGGAAGGTGCTCTAAAATAGCTACTGCAAATGTATTATATACATTTAAGAAGGTAGAGGACATGAGCATAAAGAAGAGAGGCAGGAAATTTGAAATAAAAGGGGCTCAGTGTATAGCTAAGTGGTAGATTGCTTTCCTGGCATGTGTGAGACCCATGTTGTAGAAGATAGCAATATTGAAGATATAGCAATATTGCTTGAAGACATAGTAAAAACTATCAAAAAAAAACTGAAACAGGAAAAGACTTAAAAATAAATGACTAAGCATCTGTGTACTGTGGGACAATATCAGGTAGTATGTTACAGAGTGAAGAAATAATAGTGGAAACATTTCCAAATTTGTTAAAAATTATAAACCCACATGTCCAAGAATCTTAATAGACCCCAAGCAGAAGAAACATAAAGAAAATAACATGAATTCACTTCATATATATATATATATTTTCTTTTTTTCACAGTACTGGGGATTGATCTCAGGGTCCTGTGCTTGCTAGGCATGTGTTCTATTACTTGAGCTATGTTTAGTTTACTTTTTCAAATGGTGTTCTACTCTTTTTCCCTGCTGGCCTTGGATCATAGTCTTCCTACCTGAGTCCTCCTGAGTCCTCCTGAGTAACTAGGATTACAAGTGTGTACCATAATGCCTGGCTTGATAATTTTTTAAAAATGCACATCATAGAAAAAGATGCTCAACCTCCATACACTTACTAGAGTGGCTAATCCAACAATTCCAAGTATTGACAAGGATGTTCCAACTTTCATAACACTGCTGAGGGAAATGTAAAGCAGAAGTGATATTTTGTAAAACAGTTTGGCATTTTCTAATGAAGCCTGACATGTACTTAATATCTATGGGTGATAATTCCACTCATAAATATTTACCCAAGAATAATAAGAACAAATGTCCACACAAAGGTACGTGAATCCTCATTGCCAATTTATTCATAACAGCTAAAAATTGCAAACAACTCAACTGTCCATTAACTTTGTATACACAAAGTAGGGTACATCCTTAACACAGAATACTATTCAAGAGTAGTGGATTCCTGAAACATAACTGACTTGGATGAATCTAAAAGTGAAAGAAGCCAGACATGAAAGACTGCATTCTGTGTTAACTCCACTTCATGACATTCTGGAACATGTGAAGATACACATAGAAATCAGATCAATGGTTGCCAAAACAGAGGATTTCACTCTAGAGGAGCACAAAGGAGTTTTGGAGAATGACAGAAATGCTGTGTCATTGTGGTGGAAGCTGCATGACTGTCTACATTTGTGAAAACTCATCAAATTATATGCTCAAAATCAACGAATTTTATTTTATGTAAATTATACCTCAGTAAAGTTGGCAAAGAAAAAAAAGAATATGCTGACTATCTAAGGGAGTAAGATCTTGAGAGCTGGATCAAAAAAGCAATCAGAAGCTGATGGGGATGGATTACACCGTCCTCCAGCTATATAGCAGAAATCCTAGAATGGGACATTTTACAAGTTCCAAGAAGAGGAAACTGGGCACATATATCCTAAAAAGTATGTTTGAAATCACAGTTGAGTTTCATCCTTTCTCCTTGTTATTGCTGTTGGAATGATGGAAAGTAAGGGTGACTTCTCCCACTGGTGGTGATGGTGAACTAATTTAATATTGAATTTACACCAAGAAGTATGAGGATTACAGTCTTGGGACCAAATGTGAATGAGTAACAACATGCCTAATTCCCCACCTAAAAACAGAAGACAGTGCTAATATTCTCATCTTTTTCTTTCCCTTTCCATCTTTCTTATATATATATTCTCTCTCGCTCCCTCTCTCTCTCTTTTTTCTTTCTTTTTCCCCTCTCCTACTCTCTTTTTTTTGAAGACAGGACCTTGCTATATACCCTGGGCTAGTCTTGAACTCATGATCCTCCTGCCTCAGTCTCCCACGTGCTGGAGTTACAGACATGTGCCACCACACCCGGTTCACAAATATTCTCACCTTTCAAAGCAGAAGATAAACCAACGGCGTTTGTAACTGAAACATAGCTTTGAACTCAACAAAACGGACTCTTCACATTTTTCAAAATCTCTTATCTTCAGAGGAACTTTTTAGGAAAAAAAATCTCTTATAGTAAAAAATACCTTTGCTATGCTTGACTTTTCTATTAAATAAAATGAAAATTTAAAATTTAAAAGCAGCACTTACAGTAGAATTTTATCTACTGATATACCATTTTCCATCCTATCTGACACACCAGTACTTGTGAAATGTACGGTATTTTATGTACCACTAAGAAAGAAAAATTATTGCCAATATGACTGTGACACCACACAAAGATGCCATGGACTCTAAGATGTATACCAATTTCAAAAATGTCAAAAATAAAAAAATATACTCAGTAAAATAAATCCCCATCCACCCACTCATCCACCCATCCATCCATCCATCCACCTACCCACATGCAAACAAAAGTTCCTGGAGTAAGTCACCAAGGTTTAATAAAGGTTCTTTTTTTAGAGGGAGGATCTGAGGATCTATTTTTTCTATACTAAAAGTCTTTTTAATGAAGATACATTTATAAAAACAAATCAACACTTTTTATTCAAGGAGAAAAATGATAGTAATATGCCAAAATGTGAATAGCAGGTGATTCTGGGTGTGATGATCATAGACACTGTCACTTTTCCCTTGTTTATTCTTGTATTTAAAAAAAATTTTTCCAAATTAAAAAACTAAACAAAGTAAGTTAAGATTAAAAAAACCCTGGGATGAACACCCTTAGACATAATGACTTTCTCAGTGGCAGGTGCTTCTTCTCTGGGTGACCAAAGGTTCTCAGGTCCAAGAATGAGAGCCCAAAGACTTGGGGCGGCTGTCATCCCAGCTCCTTTGTGGTTCAAATGAACAGGGTGAGGTGTCAGAAATGATACTTTTGAGTCTAGACAAAAAGCTCTCTTTTTTTAGTGTGTCTCAGAACCAACTCCCTGAGGGGAGCACCTGTGGAACAAGTAGGCTTCTGGGTGACATCCCTGGAGATTCTAGTCTAGTAGGTGTGGGGTTGAGGTAATTGCCCTGGCCTCACTGTGTCTTCCTAGTCTCCTTCTCCTCCATATTTGGGGTCAAACGAATCCCTCCCTAAGCCTCTGTGCTACCAGGACTCACTGGCTGATATGCAGACCCCAGGGCTGCCACCTCCTCCCTAAGCTCACTGAAAAGAAAAAGAGGATGGAGGGACTCAGGGCCTTCTATTCCCTCCCTCCAGAAAAATGCTAGAAACTCAAATCAGATCAAAGTCTCCTTTTAGATCTCCACAGGTACTCATTCTTCTACAGAAATAGGGAGGGAAAGTCTTCCTGTCAGACAGGAAGGATACACAGAGCTCTCTAATTCTTCCCCATCCTTCACTTAGATTCTACTATATGCAAACACCATCTGTAGCATCCTAGACAAAAAAAAATTTTTTTTTGGTAGAAATGAGGTTTGAACTCAGGGCTTCACACTTGCAAAGCAGGTGCTCTACCACTTGAACTATACCTCCAATCTTGTAAAAAAAATTTTTTTTAAAGACCTTTTATCCTATCCTGCACGTGTATTTCTCTATGAATACAAGTCTGGAGTGTTAATTCTCTCTTCTGGACATAATTCAAAGATAAGGAGATTCTCTGGTACTGCTATTAGTTCAATGGTCTACTTTTAAAATATGGCACACTACTTTATGTTGTATCTTCATTAATATGTTTATTAATACTTTATGTTGTTATCCTCATTAATATGTTCCCCAGCTGTGAAACACGCTCTTAGGTCTAGTGCTTCTTAAATGTTCATAAGGAGAAGACTCTCCTGGACATCTTGTAAAGCTGCAAACTATGACTCAGTGGCTCTGCATTTCTAATGAAGGCGCTCAGGAATCTCACTCCCAAACAGGGTACCTGGTATGGTGATTGTTTTAAATTAAAGGCTCTTAGAGAGCAGTAGATGCTGGAAGAGCTTTACTGTGAAGTTCCTACATCTGCCTGAAGACCAGCCCCACCAAAGAATAAAGCAAACTACCTCTGGTCTCCTCCCTGAGTTTTCATGAAGTAACCTCATATCTGCAGGAAAGAAGATTAATAATGTAGCTAAGATAGACAGATTTTAGTGAAACCTTCTGTCTACTGCTTAGGACTATTTAGTTCCCACAGAGAATCATTTACCACCTACTGTCTGAACAATGGGCATATTCTTTCACCTAAAATCATTTATTGCCTCTCAAAATTGTCACATTGTCCATCTCCTCCTCCCTTATAAGACAGTGTATTAGCATCTGAACCTCACTGGTTTACTGGGGAATCACACTCCTGTGATTGTCTCCCATGCACATTAAGTACTTTGCACACTTTTTCTCCTGTGGTTTCACTGTCAGTTCATTCCAGTGAACCTGCACAGGGGAAGGGGCAGCTGCCCCTCTGAGGCTACAGAACAGACTCCTGACTCTTGGAACACACTTGAGGAGGAACGATAATTGGCTGGTGAAAGTTTGTTCCCTAAGTTTCTATTTGCCTATAATAAAATAAAAGCAAAACAAGTATTTGCTCCTACCACAGGGCTTAAACAACTGTGCTATTTTTTTCAGGGTTTGCAGGAAATGTGTGGTGCACCCCTCACACACACGGAATGAGTCAGCAAGTTGTAAAGCCAAATCCTTTTCATTGTAAATTCTTATGTCTGTTTACTGAACTGCAAACCGTTTAAGTTAAATTATAGTCAGAAGATCTATCTATCTATCTATCCATATGTATAAAAGTACATGTGTAGGAAGGGAAGTGCTTGAAGAAGTAAAAAAAAAGATTTTAATTATAAAAATGAGTACGGGTTAAACATGAGAAAATGCAAATTGGCAAGCTTTGGAAGGGGGACCTTCTATTAAATGAAATCAGAAAAATATTGTCAGCTGCAGGGATGGATCTTTTAACTTAAGGGGGAATGAGGAAACTAATATAGGCAGCAGTGATGATGTCTTTATAGTCTTGAATTGATCTGAGCATACCACAGCATAATTTTACATTTAGTTGTCCAAGACCCAGAATGAAATAACTTCTCTGTGTTATTATCATTCATGTTCCCAAACATGGGGAAGAACAGAAATAAGTGTTGGGATAAAACTAAAAAAAAAATTGAACATACATACACATCATTATTTTAAAAATCATGTCATATATAATATAGAAAAAAACAGACAAGAAGAATGTACAGCAAAAAGCCAACACTAATTGCCTCTGGATAGTGGGATATGTGCACCTTTGCTTATTGCTCTTTTAACATGTTCTGTAATGAAAATTCACTACTTTTATAATAAAAATAATACATGCTAATTTTTAAAAGCAGAAATGCTGAGATAGATATAATTATAGGTAGCTTCTCATTGATGGGAAATTCCTTTCAAATTCTTTTACATATTTCCTTTGACTATGTTCCATGTAATTCTTTTCTATTTTGGGGGGGGTTTCATACTAATTTTAAAGATGTGATTATACTCTATAGTATAATCACATTATACTGAGTAAGTAGGACCTTTAAATTCCCAATTGTTCCTCTGTAATCAGTATTTTCTATGTCACATACACCAACTGGCATTTATAAACTTTAAAATGCTTCTGGGATAACATGAGAAGGTCCTTTGTCACTCTTCCAGAATCCACAGTGCCCCCTACCCCATTAAGTTCTGTGTGTTCCTCTGAGCTCTATGCCAAGCTACTGTACTTACAGACCCCATGGAGGGCAGAGGTCACCTCATGATTTCTGTGACCATGCTAGAGTCTCAATGGCTGATGATGGACAACACAGGAAATGAGATTCTAAGGGAAAGAGGCAAGGTGAAAATGACTTCGCCATCATTTGGCTCAGAAATGACATAGGTACCTTTAAGATGGTAATATTCCAGGTAAAGCTCTCCACAGCTTTCTGTAGCTTTCGTTCCTTCAGACCCTCTTTGGTGCCTATACTGTGCAAGTGTTCATGGAATTCCATGGCTGAAAGAAATAGAAAAGATGATATCACTTCCCCATCCTATCAGTGGTAATGAACTGGCAATGTTTATTTTTCTAGGTATAGCTAAAAAGATTCCAACTTTCAATAGAATTTCATAAATGTGTCCATTTAAAAATATAGTGGTGAGGAAAAACATTGAAAACCTCAAGCTGGAAGGCATCTTACAAGTCAGTAATTGCTCCTCATAGTTTAGAAGGGCAGATGGGATACATGTCATCACCATCATCACCATTATCATTATTTGAGCAGCAAAAGAGACTTGTTTTTGGCCAAGAATAGGAGAAATAGAAGACAAATTGGTAAATTGACTTCTCAGCGTTCAGCACTAGGAGGTTATAGATACAGAGTAAAAGAAACAAGGCAGAAGGATTATTATTACATGATCTTATTTCAGAGGAGAGATGTTCAGTAATCTTCAGAGATAAAGGCTGTTAAGGAGGCCAAGTCTGCAGAATCTCAGAAGGCAGACTTTACCTCTACAGGGGACATAAGGCCAGCCACTGGCAACTGGGACTAAAAAAACTGCAAAGCCATGTGCCCTCCTGTGGAATAAAGGTCAACATGAAGTCAGATACCAAACCTACTATAAGGGGAACAAAGACGCAACTTAAACTTCCCATTATGATTCTGTACCAGGATTTACCTAATCAAATGAATATTTCCTATTGCCCTTCAAAATAGTCTAAGTGGATCCTGACATCAATAATGCAGGGGGGAGGTTATGATGGTCCTTTTTATTTGTGGTTATTTTAATTCAGGTTTTTCAGATATTCCCTTATAGCCAATCATTCCATGTCTGGCCAATGGGAACCCTTCAAACTGGTTCCCAAACCCTTCTGAAATGGCTAATTGGCTTTTGATACATATGCTTCCTTGCTTAGTGGCAGAAGATACTCTAGACTCACAAAATTCATTTTTCCATTGCAGACTTGAAGCTAGATATTTCTTCAAGGAAATTGTATGTATCTATATGAGAGGAGGGCACACTGTGTGTGTGTGTGAGAGAGAGAGAGAGAGAGAGAGAGAGAGAGAGAGAGAGAGAGGGAGAGAGAGAGAGAAAGAGAGAGAGAGAGAGAGCGCGAGAGCGAGAGAGTGCACGCCAGAAAGCAAGTGAGAGATTACCCCAATCTGGGTGCTCTTTGTTACTGAGTTTTCATTGTTCTGGATACATGCAGGACAAATGTATTTTTTTGGAGTGGCAAGATAAAATCTCACAAATACTTCTAATTCAAGTTTAATTCATAGATTTTTATATAACTTTTTAAACTTTATGCTTATTTTTTTCCCTTAGGTAGAAAAATGTTAGTAGTAAGATTGCTGGATCCAGTTTAGACTCTCCTAGCACATTTTTTTGTCCTTAAGATTATATCCTATTGAGAAGACATAATAAAAATACTATGTGCTAAGGCCAGTTGGAATAATTCCTTTATCTAGGTGCTTACATCACTAACAAAGTACAATTAGGTTCATTTGTTTTCTCACATTGTGTGTATGTGTGAATGTGTGCTTTGGGCATGTAATTTGTTTTAAGACTATATCAAACTACATATCAGTGTATTCATTTAAATCTTGCTTCCTTCCTGGTCTCCTCAACCTTGATTGTTCCTCCCTTTATATACTTTTAATTAGGTTTTAATTCATAAACATAAGCAAATGTATACATGCATTCATAATAATTTCTTATACCCAAGCTGCATTCTGTGTACATTGTTCTGTACATTGGTTTTTTATCCCATAACTGTGCAGTGGAGGTCACTTCATGTCAACACAGAGCCTTTTTTTGCTCATGCTTCTTTTAACAGCAGCAGAGACTATTGTGTGGATGAGCCAGTGTGTAGGGGCCAGTCCTCTACTGATGCATGCTGAATTGTTTTAATTTTCTTGCTACTATAAATAATGTGAACATTACAAGAAATTTTGTGCATTTTTTCCCATAACTGGAGCTTGAATTCAGGGCCTTGTATATGATAGGCAAGCACTCTATCACTGAGCTGCATTACCAGCCTTTAAAAAAACTTTTTTTTGGTGGTACTGAGGTTTGAACCCAGAACCTTTACCTCTTAAGCCACATCCCCAACCCTTTTTTGCTTTAGTTATGTTTCAACGAGAGTCTCATGTTTTTGCCCAGGCTGGCCTCAAACTGTAATCCTCCTATCTATAGCTAGCTGGGATGACAAGAATGTGCCACCATATCCAGTTTTATTGGTAGAGTTGGGGCCTTGGTAACTTTTTGCTTGGTCTGGTCTTAAACCCTTCTCGTCCTGATTTCTTCCTCCTGAGTAACTGAGAGTACATTTGTGTGCCACCATGCCTGGCTTTCTACATTCTTTTCTATATTTTTACTTTTAGGTTGGGCAACTCAGTTTCTAATCCCTTTTCTATGCAATGCCATTTCAAAGCAACTTGATTGAGAATGGATATTCTTTAGTGTCTTTAAACATCAAGTAAAAGTGGACACAAATATAATAAATATAATAAGCTGTCAATTTAGTCTTTTTCTTCTCTATTTTTCCTTCACCTAATAGGAACCACAGTCAAACTTCCTGTCATGCTAATAAGGCATGAGAACCTACCTGGTTCTGAGAAAGAACAGTCCCTAGTAAAACTTATTCTGCTACCTAGGAAACAAGCACACTCTGCTTTTCCAACTTCTCTTTTGCTAATGATGATATCTGAGAACATCCCAACCTGTCCCATCCTGATTAACTAAACCTGCTCCACGCCAGTGCTGTGAGCAGGCTCAGACAGTGGGTAAGTTCTGCTGTTCATCGGATGTGCTTGGCTTAAGAAGCAAAACAACAAAACCAAAGCAAACAACAATGACCATGAATAGGCAGCAATCATGTTTTAAAACTCAAGAGTTAGAACATGAAAACACTCTTTCTTTCTCTTCTTTCTTCCCATCTGGGAGGTTCCCTGGAGTAGGCTGCAATGACTTAGACCTGCCGGTTGGGACCCTAAAGAAAAGGCACTGATGTGCTGGTTCCCTGTTAAATTCGAATACTAGATGTCTGCAAAAGATCTGGATTTTCAAGCATGAATCCCTCATGTTCAGAATGTTTCTATTTCTGGCAGTCAGGAGGCAGCACAGTCTCATGTCACCAAGACTCGGTAGATAGACTCCATGGTTAGAATACAGGAAAGGAAGGCACAGGAAAGCAGTGGCAGGGGAGTAGCACTGTGCAAATAGGAAAGAACACAACCACATGGACTGCATGGTGCATAAAAGAAACTGGAAAAGGAGAAAGTGATATTAACATGAGACTTCTGACTATAATCACCTGACCAGATGCTTTCTCATTACACATTTTAAAACTGCCACACAGGTGTAACACAACAATAGCGGGGGATTTTCCAACCATCCAGGGATGTACTTGGAAGCCTCATTCTTTGGGAGCTAACTGCACATTGTCTTGCTGAGGAGGTGAAGACAGGAACTGCTATACTGGCATCATTCCAACTAACAAATAAGAACTTGAAATCATGTGAGCAAGGGACAGTGGAAGAAGGCAATGCTGAGTGAAGACACACATCTGCCCTAGATTTTAAGATAGCAGCTTTCAGAAAAGGAAAGCTTCCAGACAGGAAGCCAGGATCAGAGGCAGTAAAAGGACAGGCTGCCTTGAGAAGGACTGGGGACCTGAACAGGCATGACCAAGATAATAAAAAAGGATGTTGGATATTGATAAGGAAGAAATATGGAAATACTTTCAAAAGCTAGGATAACTGCATATATGGAAATACTTTCAAAAGTTAGGATAGTTGCATATATGCTTGTTTTCTAAAAACTTCATTAAAAAACTATATTACCTGTCTATTAAAAAGAGAAATGAGAATGCTACTTTATTTTAAACCTAAAATATCTGTAGTATAACAAAATTTCACAGAAAACTTATCAATGAAGATGTTTTAAAAATGGGCATGAAAAAGATGACCAATTAAAAACCAGAAAAATTATATTAAAAATATAAAATCCAGAATTTTAAAAAGTGACCAAGTCTAGAGGTCAATTGTTATCTCATTATTTGATTTGCTGGCTAACACATCTAGTTCTTGAAACAGATATCTATATTACTAATTTAGAGACTGATCTTTGCAAATCCATTGGCGTAAATTTTGCTGATCTACTGATTCGAAGCATATATTGATTTTATTTAAGGACAGAAAAGGATTCTTACTTTCACCTGTATAGCATGAAGGTACCTTCTCTCTCCTCCTGCCCAGATGGCACATAAAGCCCAGTACAAGGACCAAAAGGACTGAGGATGCACAACCAAGGGAACTACAATGCAACCTGCCAGGTACTTACAAAGACTACATAAGAAATATGGAGAATGCCTGCAGAACTTTGTAAAGAAGGCGAAAAAGGAATTGTATCTTGGTTTGTCTGAGCCAGGTGCCCCAGGGTTTTCCAACCACTAAGCATTATTTCTAGACAAAAGCATCCCAGCTTTTTAACAGGAGCTCAAGATATTATTATGTATACAAAATAATTATGCTGTGAGACACAACTGTGGAAGGCCACTGGACAGGTGCTGGCACAGTTCTGAGGGAATACACAGAGGTAGAAAGAATGAATCAAACTGAACCACTCCATATATATAACAAAAGAAATCCAATAATATACCTAAAATGCAAATTTCATTATTCTCTTGGTACTAAATTACTAGGAAATCTAGTCTTCTATGTCACAGGAGGTCTTCTGGAATCTTTACATCAACAGTGAATATAAAGAACTTGTCTGGGTTAGAGGTTAAGTAACCTCCTCCCTATTTTCCAAATTGTTTATAGCAAAGAACCAGTCCAATGAATAAGTCCTGATCTTTTTTCCCCTCCCCCTCCTCTCCCACCCTCTCTTGATCTTATTAAGATCAAGACTTGATCTTAATAACTTGACAGCAGGGTTTCTTCTTCTGTAAAACATACTATTCTGTGTAAAGAGTGGAGTGACCTTTAAAGTAACAGGTGAAAATCAGATAAG